ACTCTCAGAGCAATTACGTTAAGGGCAGATGTTGATCTTAATCTTGGAGTCAACAAAAATGGGGATCATGCAGCCACAAAAGTTTTTGTTGTTCATCCGTGCTGATCGAGATAAGAGATCCAATGCTAAAGCGCAAAATAATATCATAGTACTGACTAGCTTTCAATATAATTAAATTGGAGTAAAGGTGTCCCCTCGCGAGCTCATCGGCATTGCAGTTTATAGTGATGTTGCAGTCACGCCGCACCCAAACAAGTCGGATAACATACTTACTACTCATAATTAGGTCAAACACTGCTTGACAGGTCCTGACCACACTTTGAGCGACCTATTCCTGCTTAAGCACTGGGTGGTCTAGTATACAAGAGTTGATAGAGAACTCCTGACAGAAGACTACCCCTCCTGCTTTTCCCCTAAGCTTCGATCTCACTGCATCTTGTTTCCAGAGGCTTTCCTTTGTCCACATATCCCTTACAGCATTTGCATAGGGTGACGGTTTCGCAATGCAGTGATCCAAGTTGTAAGGCATCTAATCGAAGCAGTTTTTCAGAAAGCTTTTTCTCGGGAAACCGGGAACCTACCTTCTCTGAGTCAACTAGCAACTTATGACTTATTTACTCGTAAAGCCAACTCATCGGAAGTTGTCATTGTACTTGCCTCTGCACCATGTAGCAGGACGGGGCTGATGAGTGACTTGTAGAATTCGGTCTTTGTTCATCGAGAAAGGACTTTATTGACTACTCAGTCCGCAGTAGCACCTGTTGGCAAGAGTTATTTTGCGTTGGATTTCGTGGCTGACGTTGCTGTTGGTGTTAATGCTGGTTCCAAGATGGAAGAATTATCTACGACTTCGAAGTTATGATGGCCAGCAGTAACGTGGGACCCAAGTCACTAATGCGACGACTGTTTGTTTGATGACAGGAGATATTTCGTCTTGCCCTCGTTCACTACCAGACCCATTTGCTTCGCTCCCTTGTCCTACTGGAGAAAGCAGAACTAACGGCGCGGTTGTTGAGGTCAATGATATCAATATCATAATAGAAGATTGTACCATCTCTATTAAACTCGGCAGCTCGTATTATTTTTTATTTATGTTTGAAACCTCGTTTGGTATCGAATGGTTCGATGAGGTCCATACCAATGCTGACAGAGCTGTATTAGCTTTTCGGGGATACCAAGTTCAGAAAAAACGGCATAAAGGCAGCTCCATTTTCGTGTTTCAAAAGCTACTTTGAAATCGACGAAGTGGTGGTGTATGTCGATCTTTACCAAGATTTGGCGCATGGTGAATATCTGGTCTGTTGTTTATTTTCCTAAAGCCACACTGATAAGGTCCAATAAATTTTTTGATGGCGTTAAAGCCGGCTCTTTCACACAGCACGCTCACTAGAAATCTGTATGTAATGTTGAAGAAGTTTATCCTACGGTAGTTGGCGCAACTTGTGGGGTCTCCCTTTTTGTGGATTGGATAGAGCACACTTAAATTAAAATCCTCGGGCATGCTTTCGTCCGACCATATTCTACAAAGAAGCTGATGTATGGTTGTTCTCAGTTATCACTTGTCAGTCCTTCGCCGCCGCTTTGAATAGCAAGCATATATATTATAATATATATATGGCTATAAATGACAATTTTATGGATTTTATTCCTTCCAGTGTAAATTAAATTGAACTTGGTAAAATACTGGTCGAAATTTGATTCTGTGACTTTATCTGTAACACTTCACCAATTATGGAAATTTCTTCTTCGACTCAGTTTCGCACAGTTCTACATATATAACCGTTCTTATCGACCAACCTACTGCACCGGTTCGGCTATAAACGCGAACAGTAAATGTCGAATCATAATTATTCTTTCTCTGGTGTTTTATTTACACTTTTATTCAAATCGAAAATATTTATAATAATTAACAATTCATACTTAAAAAATTAAATCTTATGTAATTTATTATTTATAAAATTAACAAATATACATATAAATTAATTATAAATTTATAATGAAAAAAACATAACAAAATGTATACATATTTTAATAATATTATTAAATACAACATAAGTGCATAAAGCATGGCAAAAGATGATGAATATTTTCTTACATAACTTTGACAGCGCAGGCGCATACACATAAGCACATAAAGATTTATATGGAGTGTAATTAAATACAATTTAACGGGTTTTACTTCATATGAATTAAAAAAAAGGCACCTACTACATAACTAGATATATATATATGTCAATAATTATCTACATTATGAAGAATATATGTATATCGTCACCTACAATGGGAATTTACGTCTCATAAAAAAACATCGAAAATCACTGACAGTTAGCATAACCAATATATAACCAACACTGAAACTTTTTCCAATATGTGTGCATGGTAACCAATACATAACCACTTTATAACCAATATCTAACCACTTTATAACCAATACATAACCACTTTATAACCAATACATAACCAATTTATAACCAAAACTCAAGTTTTTCTTGAACATGAGCGGTCTCTATTACATCGTTTTTACTCGCCAGTAAACATATGAAAAGTGATGTTACGTTATTTTGCATTTTAAGTGACGATATGCCTTCCCTTTACTGTCATTTGTAGAACTTTACATTTGTAATTGTTTTCAATTAATTCTTTCTTTTGCAGGTATGACTGCTTCAAAAAATTGTCATACACATTTGGGTAAGTAAATTTTACCGATGACCCCTATTATTTATGGTTACTACTATTACTATGATGTATAGCCAGTAACTAGTAGCACGGCTAAACAAAATAGCCGATAACCAAGCTTGCATATAAATTTTGAGAGGGAGTGCGTACATTTCAAACAGTGTTACTGAAAAATGTGAAATCATATAGGTGGTATATAATATTTTCAATTACACTTGACCACTCAACTAAAAACATTATACATTGTATATTCAAAAATAGTGGCTTAACGACACAAATATTGGACTGGTGCAAAGCATATTTTGACTTGGAATTTTTTGATAGAAAATAGTATGTTTGGAACATAAGATGGCGACAAAAAATTTTTTTTCATAAAAAAAATAAATAGCTCAAAAACTTGGTTATTTGAATTTTTGACATAAATTTTGAGGTTATGTGAAGAAAGTCAATATACAAAAGTTATAGAACTTTTCATTACCTACAACATTGCTCAATAACAGTTTTCTATAGGGCTTGGAGTTTTGTCGGAAATCGAGATAAACCATTCTTAGTCCTTAAAAATTCTAACACACCCATCCTTCTACTTTTCTCAACCTCAGATAGTCCGTAATTGATTATTCCCTAACTTTTTCGCTTCCTATTATGATGTATCTTTGTTATCAAAGTTTATCTACCCGAATCTGTATGGATGTTTTTCGAATTCGGAAAGCTAACAGTTGAGACATTTGCTGTTTCTACTATGATTTGAATGTTCTTTTGCTTTTCTCTTCTAAGGACTAAAACACTCGGATCTGTAAAACTTTTGAACAACAGAGCTCTACGAATCACTAAAGAAGTATATTTAAAAAATGAAAGTAATTTGAAGTTATGTTGAACTGTCATTGACGTTGAGTGTTTCAATTTAATCATTTAAATTTTTTTTTTTTTTTGAATTTATATTTCCAAGAATTTTAATCAACAAATTTTAATAAAATGACGGTATATTTATTAAAGTAATATGTACATATATCAAAGATTAAGGTTTTCTTCTTTTAAGAGGTGATTTTGTGCAAATATTCAAAAAATTCTACCACAAATCTTATTACAATATATTTCTATATTCAAATGTAAATTCTTTAAATAAATATGAAAATAAAAAATATGAAAAGAAAAGAATAGATAGGAATTAAAGCTTTTGGTTAAATTTTCATAAACAAAATATTTTTTAATAATGTATAATTTTAGAAAAAAAATATTTCGACTTTTGAAAATGTTTCGACTTTTACTTTTGTATTAAAATATTTTTTGAAATTAAAAATAATTGATTATTGTTTTTTTTATTAAATTTTTGCTCAGAAACATTTTTTAAGAAACTAAAACAATTTTTTCTTTTTGTAATTTTTGTTTAGCAACTAAAGTGACCTTTCTTTTTTTATTAAAATAATGTTTTCGAAAACTAAAAATAATGATTTAATTTTTGTATGATATTTTCGATTAGACAACATAAAAATTAAAACCATTTTGTTTTAATTTGAAATTTCCATTTAGCCACTACTGTGATTTTTACTTTTTTTATTGCATTAATTTTTTCGAAAATGAAAAATAAATCATTAATTTTTTTTTATCAATAATCAATTTTTTTAAACTTAAAACCATTTTTTAATTTTAAAATTTTCATTTAGCCACCACTGTGACCTTTATTTTTTTAATTAAAATCAGTTTTTCTAAAATAAAAATTAGAAACTTAATATAATTTTCATCTTCATAATTTTCATTTAGCCACCACTGTGACTTTTACTTTTTTTGTCAAATTAGCTTTTTCGAAAATGAAAAATAAATCATTAATTTTTTTATCAATAATAAAATTTTTTTAAGTTTAAAACCATTAATCTTTGAAATTTTTGTTTATCCACTACTGTAATCTTTACTTTTTTAATTAAAATAATAACTAAATTAACTTTTTATTATTAAGTTTTTAATTAGACCACAGTTTTTTTAGGAAGCTTAACATCACTTTTTATACCTTTCATTTAGCCGCCACTGTGTCCTTTCGCATTACTTGCCACCCAAGAATTTTTAAACATAAACTCATAGTTTTGTAATTTAAGTACAGTTAGTGATTTATTATTTCATTACTCGTTTGCGCATGTGCGTGCTTATATGCCCTCATATGCATAACAGTATTTATGTATGTCTTTTATATGTGTTTTAAATATTTTATATGGCTCGTTGCTAACTCGCTAATTTTCATAATTATTATTTAAAGCTAACTAAATTCTTAAGTGAATTACTTAAATACATATGGTACAACAAAAATATGACACGCTCACAAAGTTTTTTTTCTGTTTTTATACATAAATATGTAAGTTGCTATTAAAAATAGTTAAGTGCTATGCTTAATCACTTAAAATCTACGACTCTTGCTCATTTTTGTGCTAAATATGATTTTTTATTTATGATTTTTGTTTCTTAATTTTTTGCTTTGCGGCTGCCAGTGATTTTTTTCGCTTTTCTACACTTCACCTCTGCAGTTTTTTGGGCTTTAACATTTTCTCCCTTGCCTCTCGCTCATGCTCATAAAAATTTTGCGCCGCTCTGAATATTCAAATCACGCTTTAAAGCATTTTTCAATTTAATGAATTTCATTTTTTTTTTAACCATTTCATTTCACTTGAATCCATTTTATTTCACTTTAATCCACTTCGTTTAATTCACTTAATTCTCATTCATTTTACTTTTGCAATTTAATTTCTCAAACTTGTCGTCCGTTCGGTTGGCATCATTAGCGGCCTCTCAGCGGGACCAGCAGCCGAGAGCGTTAAATTGCCAACACTGCTGGACGTTGTCTTCGTTGAGTATTGGCTCTGGCGCTGGTTGCAGCTGTCACGTGTAGACGAATAGCTGTTTTCGGCAATGAAAATTGAAGAAAAATTATTTGTAATTCATTTATTTCATTTTAATATTTTTTTATTATTAGCACATAAACACACATATACATATAAAAAGCTAGACACATATCCATTAAGCAACCGAATTTCCAAGCTACACATGCAACATATATATACTGAAAAACAAACATACATAACATACATATATGAATGTATGAACTACAAAAATATATTTAAGTTGAAGTGATTTTGTGCGCGTGGGCGTATACGCAACATTTTATGGCATGCCAAGCTTTTACATTCACTTTTAATTGATTGCTCGCCGCTGCGTGCGTCGCGCATTTTTAATATTTCGAGGTGTCGAAATAGTCGAAAGCATGCATAATTATTGCATATTAGTGTATATAAATTTATATTTGTAGCTAAAGTGGCTATTTTCTGTGCGCAAAAATATTTCACATGATGTTTAGAGATTATCTCTTAAAAATATAAATAATAATACTTAATAAATTAGCGCTTTTTTAGAAATCTGTATATAAATTGTTATTTTTATGCCAGTGTAGTTTCGCTTTTACGCTTACCATACCCAATTGGTAGGCTTCCTCAAAATCCACACAAGTATTTGTTGTTCTTTCATTCATTTTTTTATATCTTACCATTGAAGCGCTTTTCAGGTCTCAAAAATCAATTGTACCAGCATTTTTTTGCTTTTATCGCCCATGCGATTTTTTCCCCTTGCACATAAAAAAACCACTACAAACAAAGTTCCACTATGAAAATTTTATTTTTTATAATTTTAAAATTCTTAATTTATTCTTCAAAGTTTATGTATGTCGTCCCCTCAAAGTAATTCCCCTTGGCTCCGTTTTTTCCAATCCTCGAAATATTTGTTAAAGTCAATTTCCGGAAGAGACTTCAATGCGCGTCCTGCCTTTCGTCCTGAATGTGGTTCGTGGTCACCGCTTACGCGACCCCCTTTGAATAATTCGTAGCAATCAAAAACAATTGCTTGTGACACACAATTATCACCGATAGCTTTTTCAAAAATTTTGAATCTTTCGGCACCAGAATTATTATTCTGCCCACCTCGTAAAACCGCCGAATGCTATTTATGTGCCATGTGTGATTGTGGCAGAAAAAATATATTTCAACAAATGAGTTTTTACGCGAAATTTAAGTTAAAAAGTCTTACTATATTTTGCTTATGTCATTTTATACGTCGGGTTTGGGTCGGAAAAATGTTACTGGACAATGGACAATATAGTTGAGAACACTACTTTTATTAAACGCTTCAGTTCTGTTTACGAGCCCTGAGTTTATAAATATGACGTCGAAACTATCCAACTATTTAGCGACTGGCGCTCCAAAAATTCGCAGAAACAAAAGAAGCTACAGTTCAATGGAGACACTGAAGGCCACGCCAGTCGAGGCTTATAGAAAGTAATATGAAAAATTATAATATTGAAGGGGATCATAAAGATTTGCATTCAAAATTGATACAAGTTTTTTTTTTGTCAGTCTGCGTCAAATTTGATCAGATGATGTAATATTAACGATCTTAGTTGCTCTTCGTTCTATGTTTCTCTTATAAACGATTCGTTAAATTGTTTGCAATAACTTTTCTCCATCTCGTTTAAAAGACTCGTTCAGATTTTTGTTTTCGTTCATAATTGATATTTGATAATTCAAAGAAACGTATCCGAGGGTAAGTTGCTATTTTACTCGATATTCTTAGTTAGTCGCTAATTGAAAATCGGTGGTTAGTATTTGCAGTTTATGTGCTCTCTCAACACGTTGGTGTTGTAAGAGTATTCGTTGTTTCCTGTTGTTGTTGTTCCCTCTCGCTGTTGAGGCTTTTAGTGTCGTGTTTAAATGACCCTGTTAGTGTTGCCATTATAATTTATACATAATTCATATTTGCTGCCTCGTACGACTTCGTGATGTAGAGATTGTGGCTCACTCTTAGTACTCGATATTGTGTAGCAACGAGTCTAAAATTCCGACGAGTTCCCGTAGTAGTTATACTTGAGCCGTCATAAAATTTCTTTACAGTAAATATTTATTATTCTAGCATCATCGTGGTATATAGTATAATATATATAATATGACTCTCCAAATCGTGTATAAAGATCAATAATTATAACCGGTTATTAGTATATTGAATTTAACTAACTTTTTAGGTACTTTTTGTGCGTAAGTGCTGAAAAGGGTTAATAACTAGGATATAATATTGGATTTAACTACGTATGGGTTAAACACCTTGTACCTTGCTATAATCTATGTGAGTTGCTACTCAAACTTCTCAAAACTAAATGCCGTTATTATTGATGGCTGTATTTACCTCTTCGCTAGAAGCGATCACTGCCACGCAGCGCCTGTGACGACTTCATTTTCATTGCATACTTATCGGGATTTTGATTATAATCGGAATTCGTTGAGCTGGTGGAGTTCGTGTGGCTCGTACCCGGCGGCCGGCGCTTGAGTAGGCTTTCGAGAAATCAATTATAAATTATTGTTTGACATATTCGCTTGTTTTGGCGTGTCACTCGTAGTGACGAGTAGCGAGTAAATAACGTTATAGATTTGTTTGCTTTTTGTTTTTTGAATTTTGTTTTGTACATGGCGTATTTGACTACTGGTTCTACAGTTTACAGTTATAACATGAGTAGATACAGTCTTTAGCATATTCATAAGCCAATTTAATGTAAGTAAACAATGCTAGGATTTTTTTTTTTTTGGTTTTGGTGTTTAATTTTGCAGGAGGCAGGTGAGAAATGCATGGCGGAAAACAAATGGCAGGCAACAGGTAGCAGGTAGCAAAATTTTAAGTTCTTTTTATGCTCTTTTTTTTTTTTGTTTTTGTTATATGTGTTTCTATGTTTGTGGCCGCCGCTGTGTATGTAGCGTTTAGCTCAGCAGCAGCAGTAGCAGTAGTGATTGGGTGCGAGCCTTTGTTATTGTGGCGGCGCTATGTTGATCACTGCGACCTGCTTGCTGTCGCTTTTGGTATTAGTTACTACACTCATTCTAACGGAATACATAAAAGAGAAATTTAGAAAATAACGGAAAATCGTAAGTGCAACAGTATGATGAAATTGAAATTTTGATGAGAGGGCAGAGGGGCAAATGCATTTGAGTACAAAATTTATATAAATATTTTTTTTTGTTAATTCTTCGAGCTTTGTATGTTGAAAAAAGTAGGCAAAAAATATTTACAATACTTAAAGGTAATCGCTCGCGCTAGAGTAAAGTTTTTCAAATAATCTGAAATATATGTAAGTTCTTTATTTTATATTGTAAATATATATGTATGTATGCATGATCATGAATTATGTTTTATATAAATTTATTATAATAGCTGTAATGTGACACTTTGTACAAATGAGTGAAATTTAATGTTATGCAATCATAATTTTTTTATAAAGCTTCGCATTTTGTAAGACCATGGCGCATGACATCACCAAAGCATCACAGCTAAGCGCGTAGCAAGCAAGTCCTTTAAACGCTGCTTTCTTTATACCGTTATTTTGCACAATAATGGCGAAGCACGAGTGTCATCACTGGGATTATTCGTTTTTTATAAATACTGTACATATGTATGTATGTAAATAGTAAAGTAAATAGTAGAGTTATAGATAGGTTTTAACCCAAGTAATTGTACTCGAAGCACCACAATGCTTATGTGAACCCAAAAAGGGGCACTATCTGTGATGAGTTAGTGTGGAAAGCAATGATTACTTAGCGAAAGGTACTGAAAGGTCTTAAGTCGTTTTGGTTATAGAATGGTCAGAAAGGATCCTAATTTTTCTAAAAAAATGAATATAATGTTTTACGACGGTTATCTAACCTTTCTAGATTGCTTAAAAACTATATACAATGTGACAGAGGTCGCCTGCTTCCTGAGATGGAATATCGAAGCAAAGATGGAAGCAATGATATTTTGCAACTCTTCAACACTGGCTAGAGAAAGACTCTTTTGGTTCAGTTTGAAACTAGCCTATATCATTTTGAGTCCCAGCATTCATTATTCGATAATATTTTGCCGAATAGACCACGTCCAGCACGAAGTGAAGAAAATATAGCAGCCGCAACTCGCACTGACGTATGGAACGACTTGACGCCTTTTATATCCAGATCTTAAATTGGAAGCGTACAAAATGCTGCTTCTATAAGAACTGAAACCGGTGGTCCTTTCCAAGCGACAGCGCTTCACTCCATGGACTCGTGAAAAGTTAAAAGAAGATGCGACATTTTCAAACCAAAAATCTCAGCAATGAGGCCCATTTCTGGCTCAATGGGTGGGAAACAAGTAAAATTACTTGTTTGGGCGGAAAAGCAACCTCAAGAAATTCAAGAGCTATCATTTCAACCAACAAAAACAACGGTTTGGTGCGAAAATTTGAGTTGGATCGATCAGTTTGTATGGCAGGTATATTCTATAGTAGTTCTATGTTGGTGGTGCGGTCTACTGATCAGCGAACATGGTTAAATAAACTCAGCGCATATATACATATATACAATTCATAGGGTCTCCAACGTTTACTGGTGGGTGATACAAACTTATTGACTAACTTAATACACCCTGTTCAGGGTATAAAGACTCAAATGGGTTAGATCTTGAAGTTTCGATTAGGTGTAAATCTATAGGCCAAGAAAAAGTGACGGGATCTCAATGCATTCCTGAAGTTTAGACAATGCAGGTGACTAACGTGCCCTACACATCATCTTTTGGTAGGAAAATCTAGAGAAAAATATTTGGGTCAATCAAGTTGGAAGCCCACCTATAGCATGTTATCGTTCCGATCTTCAAGACCTTATTTCCTCTTCAACACCTTATTGGATAGGATATATACACCCTGTCCAGAAAGTGTCGAGGATTCTTCATTTAAATCTCCCGCTTATATGGAAGACAGGTCAATTTTTTTCCTGTGTTGGTACAACCTTAACTTACCTGTCTTCCATATAAGCGGGAGATGAAGAATTCGCGATACTTTTTTTTTTTTATACGATTTACATTCTTATTGGACAAAACGTCAAATATTTGATAGAAACCTAGTAAATACGCTGACTTGGGCTTGGGAACATAATGCCAAATCAAAAAAAAAAAAAAAATATCGTGAAAAAGCCTTCAAAATAACAGACAGACCAAGAAAATTATAGGTAGATACTACAATGATCGATGACCTAAGTGAGATAAGCTTGTCAAACTGGAGGGGCTTAGTAGCGGATCGGGGAAATTCGGAGGAAAGTAGAGCGGAAGCAATAGTCCACTTAGGACTACCCTGCTAAGAAAGAAGGATAAAAATTTCAGTGAGTTGCTTATTGTTTCACAGTAAACTAGTGTATTGTGTAAGCAATTAGCCTTAAACACAGCTCGCAAAGTGGCATTGGGTACAATACATGCACAATTCTCACATTTTTAGAGCGGTTTTGTTCATTTTTGAGCTATAAGAAAGTATAAATACAAAAAAAGTGGAGAATGAACTATCGGAAATCAAACATTTCGGGCGTCACTGGTGAAATAAAGTTATTTATAGATAACTTATAATATAGATCAAGAAAGCTTGTGTTCACTTCGAAGCCTCTTCGGAGAAATATGAACTATCACATATAAACTTTATTAAAAAAATTCCAATATGTTCGCAGCAAATAGTGTTATGATAGATTAATATTGAGTAATCGCAGCTTGAGTCACTATAGGTTAATTTGTTTTTAGTTCAACACGGTTGCACATAACCTCAAAAAGACGACATAGAGTTCCCCTAAATAAATACAATACATAACATTCAAAAACACGAGCACATTTGACTTTTTCGGTTTTTTTTTTTTTAATTTTTACGCACCGGGCTAGTTCAAAACTTTATGGAATGATATACGAATGTCGAATTTTTGCGATTTCCCCTGATAATTACACTGTATGCGAATGCGTGAAGCGATTACTTGTGTTGTTGTTGCTGTGATGTCGTGTGGACGGCGGATTGAAAGCGCTTCGTATGACAATTAACTGTCTTATGTGCAGTGAGACATTTTGAAAGCGCCGACGCATTGAAATGCTGCCGCCGCCGACAGTCGTCGACTCGCTTTGACGGTAACTGCGTATGCGCACAGTGCTTTGTTGTCATAAAATTTAACAAAAATTATATTTTTTTAAAATTTAACAAAAATTATATTTTTTTAAATTTGTTTTTTTCATGGAGTTTTTGTGAGTTTTTGATGAATTTGAGTTTGTTGATGAGCGTTTCATGAGCGAATTTACGAATTTACAAAACAAAACAAAACGAAACATTAGATAAATTCAAATCATAATGATAAACAATATTGTTTTTGCTTTTGTGTTGTTTTTTTTTTTTTTTTGGGACAAGACAATTTGCTTTTGCACTTAATATACAGTTATAAATTGGCAACATTGCTAACTTACCGATTTGTTATCAAATGCTTGACCTTCTTCTTCATGACAAACAACATGAATATGAGGAAACCTTGTATGGCATTGCAGATGTCCGAAATGTAGAAGATCTTGGCCCAGCCTCTATCGGCGCCGACAAAATACGAGAAGATCTCCATAGACCATGTGACGCCCATAACCATGAATAAGCGCAGAAAGAGACCGAATCTGTGGAAGTGAAGTAGAAATGATTGGTTTAATATATAAAACCTCTCGGAGTAAATATTGGATGTAGCAAGTCCAGCTGACCAGATTTTTCAAAAAACAATGAATTAAAAGTTGGTTAAATATCAAACCGTCAAAAAACACCGTCGTCCATTTTACAAAGCGAACATTCTTTCCGTGCTTGAGGCCACTAACACTTAATAGAGTTAGTTGGAAGTGTCTAAGAGGTAAAATTTATGGCCTCACATTAGATTTAACTTTACAGTGGAATAGGTGCGTGGAACAAAAAGTGAAGGCCTTAGGGGAAGACACACCACAGGCACTTCTTTAGCGAGACGACATTACGCAGAGTGTAAACTTTACAAAGAAGTAATAGACTAACGGCTTGAAAACAAGGGAAAGCATTGTTCTCGTTCTAATGATGCCCAGAATGCCCTCATTTAAATACGATTTACATCTAAACGGTGTGACAACAATTGACCCGATTCGTTTTTAGTCGCCAAGCCGTCGCAGCTCTTTGAGGATAGAATCCATAAAATTTACAGAGGAATGAGAAAAATATATGACATGAATATAATTATATACTCATCATATCTATGTGGTATTCCAGTAAAAAAGATTACATCTTGTTGACCTAGTTTCACAGAAGTGATAGTACATCACTCGAAGAACGGGTTCCAATTGCATAGTTCATAGTTTAAGAACATTGACTTTTAGGTATTTAAAGTAAGACAATTTCATCGGCCGTTCTTCCGTCTTTCCTTGCAACTGTCTTCATTCTTCTTCTTCTTCTTTATTGGCGTAGACACCGCTTACGCGATTATAGCCGAGTTAACAACAGCGCGCCAGTCGTTTCTCCTTTTCGCTACGTGGCGCCAATTAGATATTCCAAGTGAAGTCAGGTCCTTCTCCACTTGGTCCTTCCAACGGAGTGGAGGTCTTCCTCTTCCTCTGCTTCCCCCGGCGGGTACTGCGTCGAATACTTCCAGAGCTGGAGCGTTTTCGTCCATCCGGACAACATGACCTAGCCAGCGTAGCCGCTGTCTTTTAATTCTTAATACTCAAAACACTACTCACTTATCCTTTTCGGTGCGTAAATTCTTAGTGCTATCCTCGCGTGCCATTATACGCGCCATTTCACGTTGGACCTTATGTATCTTCATGGCTGTCAAGACGAACATTATGCTGTTAGCCATAATTATGAGAACAATTGGACCAAAGAAATAAACCATCGCTGACCAGGTGCGCACTGACGAAAAAGAGGAAAAGCGTTAACTCAATTTTAAGACATATAATAACGATAAATACTTACTATCCAACCAACAATATTCGCCACCGCCAATACCGGGTTTCCAATAATCTGGTATAGCAGCAATCTCCTGCGCATACCATGTGAAGATTAAAAAGGGTACCGGTATACCCCAAGCATACAGCGAATAGACGAGAAAACGTTTCTTCTCCTGAAAACGATTGATGCCCCGCGTGCCACGGAAGTTATGCCACAAATCGAAGCTGATAACACTTAGCCAAAAGAAGGCCGCCATGAAAAAGTAGTAGGCGACATAGCCGAGCGATTTGCAGAATGACAGACTGGAATATGCATCCAATTGCAGCGAACTCATCGCTAGCAACGAGTAACCAATGATGAGTCCGATTAAATAGCAAACCAACGATTTGCCGTGTTGATTGCGTAGCTCTGGTATGCTTAGGTAAACGACAATGGTGAGTATCATGAACGGTATGGAAAACAACATGGCTGTTTGGATGGTAGAGAGACGGTGTGAATTTAGAGCGTAAAGTTTAAGTACAATTTTTTCCTTAAGGTGAGCTTACCATAAGCATTTATTGTTTTAATGGTGCTGTAATCCGAATCATAGTTGCAATTAGCCGGATTGATGATGTACATGGTGTCTGTGGTGTCATTCGCCACCGTTGGATGGAAACAGAATTCGCTCTTGGCGAGGTAGACCATGTCGAACACGCGCAGTAGTGTGCCATTCTGTGAAGAAATATTGAAGGAAATACTAATATTTAGTTAAATAAATAACTTCGAAATCTCAAATGGACTAGAAATCAAACAGAAAAATATTCTACGTTACCACTTAAAAAGTTACAAACATACATACATACATATATACATACATACATACATACATACATACAAGTGAAGCTAATAAAAGCGTATTAAAAATTTGAAATGAGCATCTATCATCAATTATAATATCTCCATAGGCGTTGAATGAATCGATGAGTGGAATGTCCAATTTTAAGTAACCCCTAAACATTTTGAAGAGTTTTTTGTCTTAGAAAACCAATATCTGTCGGGAGGCGATGCCGTAAGATTTTGTCTCCGAGGTCAATGGAGTGAAAGTCAGACACTAATTCGATTAACAGTATCGGTAGACAGTTTCAAGATATCAACATAGTGCCGAAAAAAACGCTCTTGCTGTTTTACTCTGAGACAAAGGTACAGTGATCAAGTTTGACTTGCATCAAGAGGTCCAACAAACCGATAATTGGATGAACAAAGACTCAAATGGACTAGAAACGTAATTAAGTAGGTTACTATGGATGTCTTCGATTAGATACGCATATAGACCTTTAGAAGTATTTTCTACAGAGCTGATTAACTAAAACTCGACTGTATATAGTATGGATATTTCCGGAAGGTACCACCACGTTTGAGTTGCTTGTCGAGTCCCTAAACGGATATAAATCTGGATTTTATTACTATTCATTTATAGATGGAACGATGGGCTGATGATGAGATATACGACGGCATTGACATACTTAGATCATGTCGTCCGAATGGATGGAGCTCCAGCTCTGAGAGTACGATGCAGTTTTCGCCGGAGGATGTAGAAGAAGCGGAAGACCTCCATTCCGTTAGAAAAACCAGGCGGAGGAGGACATAGCTACACTTGGAATCTTCATTGGCGCCATAATCACGTAAGCGATGTCTACGCCAGGAAAGACGAAGGCGATTTACAATCAAGGGAAAGGTACTCTTCTGTTTCTAAAGTCCACTTTCTAAACCTAAATAAGGCACTGACCACCGATAAGTTTTACTAGCGACCGAAGCTACGAATTAACCTAAGAAGTTCCCGTGCCCTTAACCGTGGCCAACAGGCAGACATTGAACAGGTATACATATTTTTACAGTAGTCGTTAGACTTCTTCGAAGGATATCTCTCGTTGTGGAGGGGAACGCAATTTGCGAGAAAAGCTTTCTATTAAAACGTACGAATCTTCAGTTAGAAAGGAAGTCACTACGAGTATTAGTGAACTTATACTTCTAATGCAATACTTTCTTGAAAATACCAGCCACATATGCGATTATGTACGATTTCAATTTCCTCCAATACCACTCACCTCGAATAGCTTCCAATCGTCGAAAGAGCCGAGCTCCGGTTGCAGTGAGAACATAAATTCACATGGTCGAAAACTCTGCACAGCAAATTCAGTAAAAATATTCACCGCCTTCAATGTTTCATCCGGCATAGTCACATTCAACAGCGGCTGGGGCCACGCATAGTCGGTATTGTTGACGCAAGCGCTCTCATTGGTGCTATAGCTGGCGCCCCAAGGACAGCAGATATTAATGCATGGCTTCAATTTACAAATACAAGCTCGCACATGTGACTCCACTTCGACGCGCCGCATGAGATCCGTGTAAATATAGTCATATGTGCCGATCAGCTGTGAAGGTATCATAGTGCCATCGTGTAGATATGAACCGTTAGGGAAATGCGGATCATTCGTCACGTTGACCGTATCGAAGAAGCTACAAGGCACATGTATGCCATCGCGTTGATGCAAGTTCTCATTGTAGGCGCTCACTAGTGGGGGTAGGCAAATAGCAAGCGCCAAGCCGATATAGACTAGGCGCGGTGACAATCTGTGCAGAAGCGTTTGTGTGTGTATTTGTGACATTGTATTTGGACCGCTTCCTGTCGAAGGCTGCAAAGTAGAGAATGAAAAATTAATTCCCATTTTATCAGATAAACATATATATAGTGTGATTTGAAGATATTTAATGTTTAGAAGAGAGTTCTTTGGATTCCATTATTCTTCCCAAGGGATCGAATATTTCTAATATCTCTTCTTTAGTCTCTTTTTTGAGTTTTTAGAGCTTTTATCATATCTCTAACCGAAACGGATTTATAGAATGGAATACATAGAGATCGTCTCTGAGAAACTGCTCTAAATATAATATCCAATATATCCATAACTACGTCAGAGATTCAGTCAAATATCGACCTTTGATATCCAAGTGTCTCAACGAAGCCGTTGTCATAAGTAAAAACTGTTAACTAAATGTTCCTGTTCTTTCTTTTTATTAGCAATTCAGCCATCTAGGTAAAATGGAAAGAGGTCGGTCGTTAGTCGCCTAGATCGCTCTCTTATGCAAAATACGGGCTGAAAGAAAGAACTTGGTGATAGGTCCATTGAAATCACAAATATTTTGCAAAATGAAAATAGTATCGATCGAATTCTTATATCCTGTTCGTCATAAATATTGTAAATATGTTTCACCGATATTTTAACGATATCGCGAATGCACTAGACATTTTTTCTTTAGTTGTCTCAACAATGCCGGTGGATTCACCATATTTATTGGGAATCTGATTCTTTCTATATTTGAATTTATTGTGTGAAAAAAGTAAAATGGAAATAAAATGAAAAATATTTAATTATTCATCAATACTTATTTTGTCGGTTTCAAAAATTGCCCCCCCACCAGATATTTCCAGTCCCTGAAACACTTTTTGTTTTATCTCTTCGATCGACTGAAACCCGTTGAGTAACAAAAAAAAAAAAAATCACACGGAGCTTTGAATTCGGTCAAAATCGTGGCTCGATGCGATGGTGCATTAACATCGTGTAAAATCCATGAATTGTTTTTCCCCAATTCTGAGCATTTTCGAAGGGTGTTCTTTCGCAAATGCCTCAATATGGCCAAATAAAACTGCCTATTGACCGTGTGCCCCTCCGGAGCAAATTCACGAGGCTTTCGTCTCATTTTTTTATCCTAAATTCTGATGATTGTTGGCTTGTTAGCATTTCAAACTCATACAGTTATAATGCTATTCATGAGCCTGGGATGGGAATTCATACGGTCAAGCATCACCAAAGAGACCTGTGTACAGTATTCTATTTGAAAAAATTCAGCTTTATTAGGACGAGAAAGAGCAAGAACGCATTTCTTAGCCGAAATATTCATCAAAATCGATATATTTTTCTCAGTTGAAGAAGTCAAAGGTCGTCCAGAATAAATATAATACAAAATTGCAGAAAAATTCTTTGTGCTGGGAACTTTTTTTTTTTTTGTCACAATTCATAAACAGCTTTGTAGTTTAACGTAAGAAAGTTGTTGCAAAGCCAGTGCATTATCATATAAAAGCCTTATCTTGCGGTCAGTTCGGTTGGGTTGTGAGTGTCGTGTGTGAATCGAGAAACTTGACAATAGATTGTCAAACAAAGAAGCCACGCATAATATTTCCACTTCATAAACCACTTCAATGAAAGATAACAAAAAAATAAAACCAAAAACACATTCTTATGTAGATCACAAGCATTGAAAAAGAACCATTGTTTAAAAAAAAAGCTTAGAAGCTACTTTTGATAACCGCTTTCTATATATTTTTCCCATGTGGGGTGAGAAGACTTCTGTATGTCTGATAAGCATAAGCTCTCTTGAAGATACTGACTGTATTTTTATGTAGGATGATTCAGAAGAGTAGACTTAAAATAATATGATTTTTAACACAACACATAAAACATTTAGCTTGACAAAACCTTTGCGTAAATTCAAAAAATAGGTTTAGGACACCATTATCCGTTGCATTATTTTGCTAAATTACTCGATAGTTTCTTCTTAGATCGAAAGGTATTGTTAGAGAAAACAAAAAAACAATACTATACCAGCTTTTAATTTATTACTGAGAGACCTAAAGATTCTGAAATTACTTCTTGGTTGCTAATTTTTATATCTACTTGTATTTAGGAATTTATCCCAAGAGACGAGGGAAAATAGTGTACCAGAATCCAAATGAAAAGAATTGCTGTCTCTAGCTAGAAATTTGATAATATCTGGAAAATATATAGTATATGTCAACCTGTTAATACAGAAGAAAATGAACAAGCTGTCAAAAAGGTATTGTTAAAAAAAATTACCGCTTTAAATCGAATAATATTTGGCATAACTAAATAATATTTTCTATTTGGAAAATAATGTTCTTTTTATTCCAGGAAAAGTTTATACAAACGGTTCCGTTGAACAAAAGATCTGTTGTACCAACTCTGAATTTATTACTATAAAACTGAGAGATATACAAAAATATATACTCTATAATTATAAAGATGAAAAGTAAAACTCTCACCATTTTGAGCATATCAAAAATTCTTTGGGACCACAAATTTCGATTGCTTTTCTCAGGATGACTGTAGCTTCTAAGTTCCTTTAAACTTTTTGTTTTTTTTTTTAAAGGGACAAGGATAGAAAAGTTTCAAGGAATAATTATACGTTGCCTCCTTCCAGACGACTTCTTTCTTACGCACATTTTTTGTTGAAATACTTTAAAGCTTCGCTTGAGTACAATTAAACAATAAACAACGAAGTTGGGTACTAGCGAGAGCGGAGGTTTCACGTTTCTTCTATCAGAACACTTCATGTAGAAATTCGTCCGTTTTAAAAGCGAGATTAAAAAAGCACTTGGAGAGAGACTCCCACTTAACAAAGGACATCTCATGAGTATGCATAATATTAGTATACGTTATACATATTTTCATAAAAAAGACAAGAATCAAGAAACTATGTAGGTCGTCCATCAAACTGCTTTGTCTAAACCTCCACCTGAATTCCATAATATGTAATAAATACTCCGATTATTGAATGTCAATACACTTAAATATTATTCAACGAAGCCCATAAATAATTTGTCAAATGTCAAACGATTATTGACGCTCAGCTTATCGTAAAGTCACCCGCAGGCATAAGGTCCTTTAACGCCTATCATTAAACCGCATCGAGTGTCAATGTAATGTGCCTCTCAGTAATTGATTACATGTGTGACTGAGGGCAACAGAATATTCATAAATTTCCATAATTATTTGTATTGAACTTATAACAGCTTGACGTAAGTATCATTAGAGTGCTTAAGTACACAATAAGTTTTGTGGCAACCATAAGCGTCGCTAAGTTTAACGGTGTTTATTAAATTATGATCAAATGTTAGTGTAGTTTCAACTGTTGCTTCGCTGGACTCTTCTTTGTTTATGCAAATTAGTTGCCTCTTGGTCATAATTTAACGCAATATATCTTCTTTATGTTGTTGGAATTGTGTCATCGTTTCATTTATTTTGAAAGGGAAATTGCTCGTAAACTTATCTATTCCTTAGGGTGGTGTTTGTTACTAAGTTATGTACACATACATGTGGTATGGCGGCGCACTTACCTAAATACTTAATGGCAAGCGCAGGAAAGCCGTCAGACATAGATCACTTCAAACTACCTTGTAGGAAATTCTTGACGCTTGAACTTGTTATAGTTAATGGAAACTTAATTTTTTAGCTAAAAAACTAAATACTATGCACGCTAGAAATTTTGTGTCTAATGGCATCACAGCAACGATTATTGTTACACATACTGCAGAACTGCTTTAGAAAGTCTACTTTACCGTAAACACAAGTACTTAAGTGGTCCAAGGCATGCGAACAAGGACGCGAAGTCATCGAAAATGTCGGTCCTGGAAATCGTACGTTCTTCTTTGTTGTTGACGGTAACAGTAACATCTAGTAAGTAAACTGACAATATTTGAAAGCCGTCATGTTAAGACTAGAAAGATAACAGAAGATTTTGTTCGTAGTGGAAACGGACCTCCATATCTCTTAAGGATCGATTCTGAGTAATGTTTTGGGTATGAAAGTGTCAATGCTAGACTTGAAGTAAAATATCTGAATTTTTAGCGAAAATGATGAGAGTAGAGGACGGAAAATAAAAAAATTGATATCGTAGCGGAGAACCCTACATTTATCAAACACATTTTTACTAGCGAAAAGTATATGATTTATGAATATGACGTCGAAACTGTCCAACAATCTCAGAACCAAAATTCACTGAAGACAATGAAGGTCATTCTTGTATATTGTACTATTACAGGTGGCTATTTTGCAGGCGATAATAGAGATTTGTATAAAATATATGAAAATATTTTTTTTTTGTCAGTCCGTTTCACACTCGACGAGATGGTGGTTAGATACCTTCCAAGTTCTAATATTAGATTATATCTCAAATAAATATCAAGGAAATATAGACATGTCATGACATGACCGAACATTACTCTCCAATCTGATATTTTCTTAATATAATTTTTGCATTTAACGATCGTAATCATATTTAGAGAGGTATTTATCTATTGAGTTCAGTAATTAGTATTTCAGTGGATAATTTCGAACTTTCTCAATTAAACAACTGTGAATAAAAGTTTTAGCTCTGTGGAGTGCATTTAATTTTAATTTTTTAGTAAAGCAAATCTGAATTATTTAAACTTTTTATGGCGGTTTAGGCCCACAATCGAGATCACTCGAATTACACTCGGATCGTTTTTAAAAACAGGAAATTTATTTAAAATTTTTAAGAATATTTAGAAACGGAAAACAAATTTCCAGAAAGCATAATGAGCTGGTGATGAAAATTAAGTTTTCTTTCTAAGAAACAGTCAGAAATAGTGGACTAAAAAGATCTGTTTAATAAATTTTTATTTCAACAGAAAACAACTAGAAATAAAGCCGCACTGAGATATCTAATTAATTTTAATTTTCAAGTTTTAAAAACTACATTTTTATTAACTATTAAAAAATAATTACAATACTTTAACACGTTAAAAAGTATCTTAGAAAATAATAAGAGCCTAAGATGCTATTCTTTTTCCTACTGGGTGTGCTTACATATATACGTA